AATCTCATCGTGTAAGTTCATTAGCTGCTGTCTAGGCTGGTCAATTCCATTTAATTCAATCCTGGTGCACATGACAAGGTCACTGATCCAGTCATGTCTGGGATAATTTACAGTGGCCTCACCTCACATTCTTAATCCTGAACAACTCACAAAGCTGGGGTTCACCAAAGATTTGGCACTAGGACCAGGACCAGTAGATTGCCACTATTAGGTAAACCAATCTAGCCTGCTGATTTTGTGGTATTTTTTTGTGATTTTATACATTGCACAATTATTTGCTTAACTTGATGGTCTGCAACAATCTACTTAAGGTTTAATGTCAATTAGGGGGTTTTGCTTTTCTAGGTCTGCTGTAGTCAGAGACATCTGGGAAGTGTTTTGATAATTTTAATTAACTTAGTTCAAACAAAATTTCCTATGAATGGGCATGTGTCTTCTTCATATTAAGGTCGCTGGGAACTATGTACATATGAAAACTGCCACTGTAGTTTAGGGATAGAGCAGTTTTGCAGTGGCTTTGACCCTGTCCTGTAAGCCTCGCTGCAGGGAACTCCATTCTGTGTCAGAGTATCTCCTTACTACTTCCCGAAGTACTCAGGCCCTCTCCTACACTAAGCATGTACTCTACCACTCAGCTACATCCCTGAGATTTTAGTCTCAGCCCCTTTCAGTGGTATGGTTGGAGATGCCTTGCCAGCTGCAAGCTTGAAATCTTCCCTGGTGTGAGTATTTGAACCATGAAAATCACCCAGTGCTACAAATCGGGACTTTTCTTTTTCTTTAGCCAGGTAAAGTGCATTGTTGGCTGTTTCCCTGTCTCTCACCCCTTCTCACCAAAACTATGGCAGCCTGCTCAAGGCGATGGGAGGGTAATTGGGCTGGCAGGGTGATACCACTTTTCCCATTGTGACTATACATTAGGCCTGAATCTCTTTCCTTAGAGGCCTCCCTTCCCTGAAGGCTTCTAAGTTCTTTATGAAAATGGAATTCATGTGGTTATCACATCGCAGCAGAAGTCCTAGGCCCTGTCCATCTACCTACAGAGCTGAGATAGTTTTGGCTGTAAAACTGATCTATTTAGACTCTTGTTTCCCTTATGGAAATAGATACAGGGAACATTTTGTTCATAGTGCACCACTATCCCCAAACACAATCTTCTAGTTTTCCAAGTATGCCTGAAGGGTAGGGTGAACACACTTTAGCACCTCAATCTAGGAAAAGTGTGCAATTGGAACACTTTTATTATTAACTATAATAACTCCTTTGCCAACCTAACTTCTTTTTCCTCAACCTACTCTTTAAATGAGATAGAATCAAAAGTATTCTTTTAGAATGCTAAGTATTATAGTTGTAAATTTATTTTAAAAACATGCCCAGTGTAGCAACATAATAAGGTTACTAAAGAAAAGGAAAATGAAACGGCAAGTTTCCTACTGTTTCTTCTACTTAAAGTAACTACAACATTTGAGCTATTTATATGTACTGTACCATACAAAGTAATCTCATACTTTTCCCCCAAATGTTGGGTAGCTAGGATCTGGACTTTGACATTGCACTCTGATCCTGTTAACTAATCCAGTGCAGGCAGCACCCATACTCAGGTACTCTGTCCATAACTGCCAGTAACTGCCAAAGATTTTTTGGTGTTATCTCCAATTACTTGGCATTACTTCATGTTTTCAGCAGAGATTTACTGAACAGCCTCTATGCTGTACAACAGGGATAAAGTGATAATGTAGCCTCTCGGAGAGGCTGGAGACCCAGAGGAGGGACACTCCCAGGACTTGTCCTGGGAAACAGGACAAGATAGTTTACCAAAGCCTGTTCCATTGTTTTGGCCACCATTTAATTTGGGCTTAAAGTTTCCTATATAT